AAGTCTTGACAGAACCTTTTTTATTTAAAAAATTGAATTTCTCTCTCATATTAATCAAAAGAAGAAACCACTATCAACCTATTTCCCTGACAAGTGGAGACCAGCGTTGCACCCCACCCCTCAATGACCAAGTCCTGAGGGAGATGTCCCAATAAAAAATAGCAAAGCTTCGGTAAACAAAGAAGTCATTCCCCAAAATCTCTTTATTAATTTCTCCCTCCCCCTCCCAAACAAACAAAACCTCCCGAACAAACAAACAAACAGTTCCTTCTTTTTCTTTCTCTTTCTCTCCCTCCTTCTCTCAACAAGAACTTCCGTTCCTTCTCCCTTCTGCCTTCCTCCCTTCTCCCTTGGCTCCAATCTACCATCCTCCCAACAGTGGCAGGACAACAGCAGCAGAGAGAACTCCCAAGCCTCAACCTCCCGCGTCCCTTCCCTGGCTGTAGACAGCGTTTGCAGCCATGTGCTTGGGTTTGTAAGCAGCAATGGCTACTGGACGCTGGATAACCCCTCCCACCCTCCCCAAAACGTAAACCCTGATTGGCTAGGAGCCAAGCAGCTTAGCTTCATCTGAAACGCTTAGTCATAGTTCCAACTCTACTTCCGTACATTGTAATCAAGGCAATTTGAAACTATGGGGGACTTCCACCTCGTGAAAACATATTGGAAATCCCTTCGGAAACCAAAAACAGCCGACTTTATTTCCGACTTCTGCAATATCCGAGCGAATTTGCCCATGTCTCGTTTTTACTATATACTAGCCATGCCCTGCCACGCGTTGCTGTGGCCTATAGTAAGGATTTTTGAGGCAGCTGTCTGGGCTATTATGAAAGAGAGGTACTTACCTATTCCTTGCCCCCTTTTTCTTTCCCTTCTCTTTTTCTTCTTTCTCTCTTTCTTTCATTTCTTCCTTTGCTCTTTGGTTCCATCCTTCCTTCTCTCTTTACTTCTTTCCTTCCCTTCCTTTTTCTCTTCTTCTTCCCTTCTCTCCTTCCTTGTTTCCGTTTCCTTCGCACTTTCACTTTTTATTTCCTTTCTTCCTTCTTTACCTCTTTTCTGTCTTTCCTCCCCTTTTTCTTTCTTTTCTTCTTTCTATTCTTCTTTCCTTTGGTACCACTTCCTTTCTTTCCTTCCTTCTCTCCTTCTTTCCTTCCTTCTGTCCTTCTCCCCTTCCATCTTTCCCTCCTTCCTTCTCTCTTTCATTCCTTCCCTCTTTTCCTCCCTGCTTTCTTCTATCCTTCCTTCCCATCTTATTTCTTTCTTTCCTTCTTGTTAGGGAGATCTTGGCTTTAGGTGTGCCACTGTTATTTCTCCCGTTGCCTTCTGCCTGCCTTTGGCCACCATCCAGGGTGGGAAGGGGAATCTAGGCACCTAGGGCACCTTCCTCATTCCCCTTCCTTGTGCTCTGTGACAGCTTGTCCTGCCGCTGGCTCCACTGCCACTATCACCTTGGGCTCCCTTGCTAGCCAGTCGACAGCACCTGCTGAGCCCAGAGCGTGTCAATAGCGTGTGCCCCAGGCAAGCAGTTGCCATTGATCATTCCACCATCCGCTATCCAGCCTTGGAGACCAAACATAGGGAACAGTAGAGACAAAGCAGGAAACACTACGTGTTTTGGACTTCAATTCCCAGATTCCTTTCTCATTGTCCAAGGTAGAAGAGGCTTCTGGGAGTTGATGTCTAGTGTGTGTGAATCACTGCGAGGAGCCCAGCCTCCCTCCTTCCTTCCCTGCCTGCCTTCAGCTCCATCTTCCCTTCGCCCCTTGTATTGGGAGTCTCAAGCCGGCCAGGGCTACTGGGCATCCTGTTGCCACCCTCCTCCTCCCAGCTGCCTTGGCCAGCCCTCTGGAGTTAAAAATGGGGCCACACTGCATCCATTCTACAGTGTGTGTCTGAGCCGCAACCTGACTCCATGGCTAGGCCTCACTCAGCACCAGCAGTGAACCAGCTCACTATGGATGGTTGGTGCACTGTGCGGGGCAGGGGGGCATTCACACATGCATTATAATGTATTGGGGGGGGGGGGTCAAAGTCCCTTTTGCTGTTTTTTTTTTTTTGGTGGGTTTTTTTTAGTGATGGTCACTCTTTGGGTTAGTAAGTGTTTTGAGGCCAAATTTGGTGGCAATTTGTCCAGCGGTTTTTGAGTTATGTCACTAAAAACAAACAGAGCATTTATATATATATAGATAGATAGATAGATAGATAGAGCAGGAAATGCCAGATGTTTTAGTTGTGTTTGGGAAAGGAAAAGGCACCAGGGTTCATATTGTAAACATTCATGATACTAGAGAACATCAAAGAATGTCAAAAGAAAATAAGACTATGTTTTAAAAATGATAGCAAAGCTTTCCTTTGCATACGTCATGAAAAACAATTCTCACTTTTTTTAAAAAAGGGTATGCAACAACATTTAAATTTCCTAGTGTGTAATCTGTACTCGGGAGAAGATGCTATCATCAGGAAAGAATTTTGGAAAATAGAATGGTTTCTACCTGGCTAAGGAGTCAGGAATGGCTGTATTTTATCACCTTATCTCTTTAACTTGTAGGCTGAACTTATCATATATAAAGAAAGATTAGATGCAGAGAAAGGAGAGCTGAAAATTGGAGGAAGACACATCAGCAACTAAAGATATGCAAGTTATACTAAACGACGAACAGAAAATAGCAAAGATTTGGAAAGATTACTGAAGAAAGACAAGTTCTGACACTTTGTTTCTGGACACCAAGCCATGGTTTAGCAAAGTGGTCCCATGTGACAACTGCTCACTGAAACGACTTTTTCCACCCTAAAAATTAGGAGGAGGAGCTAAAAAAATGTATTTGTCGAGTATGGCCAAAAGTGGTCCCCAAGCCTCTAGACAGCAGTTTGTAGGACTTTCCTTACCCTTTTAATGTTGTACAGGCTCTTCTTTTCAAAACAGGAATTACAGTCATGTGCCTGTACCTTCCCCCTTTTCAACAGAAGTACTTAAGATCTTTAAGGTATTTACGGATAAGATGTGATATATGAAATTACACATATATTTGGCAACAGTTTTGCTTGTGCCTATGAGTCGCATCAGAGGCAGGCACAATTTAAAGACTAATTTAAAGGCTTCTTTTGAAAAAGAAGCTGTGAGGAATGTCTGGAGATTACTTTAAAGACATGGATTATACCCATGTTTGAGGGGTAGGTAGGTCTTTGATATCATGTTTATCTAAGTCCAGAGTGCACACCTGATTATGAACAGCTCACACATTTCTCATTATCGTGAATTCCAATATGGCATATTCTATCTCAACTTAATTCAGGTTACTTCGTTACGTCAGTTGGAGCCTGCGCAGGTGCAGATACTCCATATGTGTGCATTCACAGAGGCCATGAAGAAAAAACAATATTTTCTGTTGGCAATGGGGGTTCTGTGTGGGAAGTTTGGCCCAATTCTATCATTGGTGAGGTTCAGAATGCTCTTTGATTGTAGGTGAACTATACATCCCAACAATTACAGCTCCCAAATGTCAAGGTCAGAGTTCACATTTGGACATATTGTGTGTTCGTGCCAAGTTTGGTCCAGATCGATCATTGTTTTGAGTCCACAGTGCACTCTGGATGTAGGTGAACTACAACTCCCAAACTCAAGATCAATGCCTACCAAATCGTTCTAGCATTTTCTATTGCTCATGGGAGTTCTGTGTGGCCAAGTCTGGTTCAATTCCATTGTTGATGGAGTTCAGAATGCTCTTTGATTGTAGGCAAACTATAAAATCCCAGCAACTACAACTCCCAAATGACAAAATCCATTTTTGAGTAGTATTCAAATTTTGGCATATTGGGTATTTGTGCCAAATTTGGTCCAGTGAACAAAAATCCATCCTGAATATCAGATATTTACATTATGATTCATAACAGTAGCAAAATTACAGTTATGGAGTAGCAACGAAAATAATGTTATGGTTGGGGGTCAGCACAACATGAGGAACTGTATTAAGGGGCTGTGACATTAGGAAGGTTGAGAACCACTGCTGTAAACAATGGAGGTCATAAGTATTGCTTATGAATGGTTGTGCCTTCAAGTAGCCTGCCCACATGAATTTCATAGGATTTCCTTAGCCAAGGAATACTGAGAGGTGGTTTTGCCTCGGAAATATAGCCCCTGGTATTTGTTTACAGGCTCCCATCCAGATATTAACTCCCATCCAAATATTAACTAAAAACCTCTTTTGCCATGCATGTCAATGATGCTTTTTCTAGTATTCTTAAAATGTACTGCATATCCTGCCAGAAATGCACTCTGCTTTTCTTTTGCCTACAACATAAAAAAAGGCTGTGGGAAGCAACATGAGTAGTCTGAGTAGCCTCTCCATAACATAACTAGATATTACAGGAAGGTAACACAACTCCTAAGACCAGGTCTCCAAATAGGAGACTCTGACATGCAGCTCAGCGGTCTCAGAATAATGTCCATCCCCTCAATCAATGACAGAGCATGGATAAAAAGGAAAATTAAAAAATCTCCTCAAGCACTTAAGTCCATCTTCTAGGCACCACAACAGAATTGCTGGTGTACCCCTGCCAGCTGAACTTCAGAAGATAGGTGCCTCATCAGATGATTGTAAATCATATAGATAATAGCAAATCTAATTAAAGGACAGTAATCGAAATAGAAACAAAAGATGGTAACTGTCAGAACTTTCCATTTCCCAAACGGTCATGCTCTGCAGCTATAGTCAGCGGCCCAGAAGGGACTGTGATGTACATTGTTTTTCTCTCACTTTTGATTGGTTTTCTTTTGATTATACTGAAATTAACATTGTTTTATTTCTTACCTGCCTCTCCTCGTGGCTCAAGGCGGGTTACAGAGTAATTAAAATACATAAACATTGTAAAACATCTATAAATATGTGTATTTCTTACATATTAAAATAAATTTCTATAATATACATATTAAAATACACAGAACAGAGATTAAAACCCAAGTAAAGTATAAACATAGCATAAATATATAATTATTAACTCACTGTGAAAAGGTTTGACCGGCGCTTGGACTGCTTACGAACGGGTGTTGGAGTGTTGGTAGTAGGTGGGACATCAATCCGTAGTTCCTTCTGGCTGGTGCTTGGAGTAGATGGGACAGAGGAAGAATAATCACTTAAGCTCCCTCCTCCGTTACTGGTCTGCAATGATTAAAATCCATTTTAGCAAATATAGAGCCAATTTCCATTTTACAGGATTAATTATATTTTCAATCACAAAAATACCATTATTTTATAAGGTATAACATAATCATACTCACTAAATTCTCGTGGAACAGTTAGTTTAAAGGGTGTAGCGGTTACTGCTAATCCAATCTCTTCTGTTTGGTTTAAAATTGCTACATTTCTCATGAAGTGGTGAAACATTAATACCTATTTGCTTATTAGTCATATTCTCCAGAATACAGATGCCCTTTTCATAGAAGGCAACTAACAGGCATTTTGAGGCCACAGAAATGTAGATCACTACCAAATCTGAAATGGAAGTGTCTTGGACTACAAGTTCTACCACACAAAAGCTAGTTATCATGCTATATGGGTATTGTGGAAATTGTGTTCCAACACATCAGAAGGGCATCAAACTGGGGAGAGATTGCCCCAGATGGTGGTAAAACGAAGTTCCTAAGGCCTCTGCTGATTGTAAAAGATCTTCCAAAATTCTATAAGAGGCAAATCAGTCTTCACCCAGAATCCCATTCATCTTGTACCAAATTTATGTCTCAACTACGTTCTCAACAAATGCGTATCACTTGGCTTTTGAAGGTATTTTGAACCAGTTTATATCCATGCAGTTTGAACCTAAGGCTTCTCCCATATGTTTAATTCAGAGTCACACTGACACTCTGACCAACAACAACAACTATCCATGCCACAGTCACATCTAAGCTAGACTATTGCAACGCCTTGTATGTTGGCCTTCCAATGTCTATGACCTGAAAGCTCCGTATTGTTCAGAATGCGGCAGCCAGGTTACTCACAAAATTGCCTATGAAATGCCATATAACACCAGTGCTGCAACATTTACATTGGCTTCCAACTGAATACCGTGGCCTATATAAGATGTTAGTTCTGACCTTTAAAATTCTTTACGGCCAGGGTCCATCGTACCTTAGGGACCGCCTCTCCTTCTCCCATCATCGGAGGTCGCAACGACCAGCACAACGCGACTTATTCTATATCCTAGAGAAGTGCACTTGGAAAGTACCATTGTCTATTTCTGCCCCTGTCTTATGGAATTACTTGCCGCCCTACTTGAGAGCCATGCATGACTTAGGGCCTTTTACTCTAGCACTTAAGACCTGGCTTTTCACTAGAGCATTTGATCTATGTTAATTATTAATTTTTGTATGTATGTATTTTTATCTTTTACAATTTAGCTTGTAAATCGCCTAGAGCATCTCGGATGGAGGGCGATTAATAATTAATTAAAGATGATGATGATGATGATGATGATGATTTTGTGCTTCATGGTTGGTGCTATGAGTAGGAAAGGACAATGACAGGAAGGGTGGTCATCCATCGACACTGAGCTGGTTTTGTAGCTGCTGGACTCTGCAACCACCTTGCTGCCACAAGGTCAGCTCAATGCCACACTTGTCTCCTACTAGCGGGCCTATTCAGAGCCTGGCTGTGCAGACTCCCCCCAGAGCTGATCTGGAGTAAATGGCTCTGTGGTCTTTGTGGCAGAGATAGCCAAGCGTCCTTTTCAATAGGCCCAAGCAGTAATATACCCAAGGTCCTCAAATAAGAGTTTCATCATCACCATCCATACCTTCACAACACTCAGATTTTCATACAAAACCCTTAGTCATTTACTACCTTCAAGTGAAAATGCCAATCCTTTGGAGAAAAAAAACAACAACAACAAGGAGCTGCAATACCAACTTGGCAAATAATGGAACATGTCAGCTTTAAGGCATACAAATCTAATTGTTTGTGGTTAACCCCCCCCCCCCAAAGATTTCCCCATCGTATCCAAATGCAGAGTCCAAGATTGACTGGGATTTTCTTTTTTGCAACAGCAACAGTTTGGCCGCATTCAAGCAATATTCCTGCTTCTTGGCAGGGGGTTGGACTGGATGGCCCACGAGGTCTCTTCCAACTCTATGATTCTAACATAAGAAGGTACAGAGAAAGCTGCCCCAGTGAAACAGCTGTTCTTATATATATGGACAGCATGTTTAGTAGAGACTTTAAAAAGGTTTGTTGAAGTTAGAAATCAGGCTTTATAACAGAATTTTGCTTTCTATTTTTTTTATCCTCTAGGGTAGAAACAAATACTAATTCAAATAGTGGCAGAGTATGACAACTGGTGGGACAAGATTAAATCTGAATTACAAAAAAAGAAAAGAAATCTATATCTGTGTCTAAGATAGCTACTAATCTGAAATCTGATCCCATATATTTCACTGCTTCATAGTGAGACAGATAATCTAAACTATTTACAACACTGGGTTGTTGTAGGTTTTTTTGGGCTATATGGCCATGTTCTAGAGGCCATATAGAACATGGCCATATAGCCTGAAAAAACCTACAACAACCCAGTGATTCCGGCCATGAAACCTTTCTACAATACATATTTACAACACAACACATTACCCAGTTATGCAGCTCAATCTGTATCTATCACTAAAAAGGAAAAAGTCCGATAATATTCTATGTCATACCTGGCTGATATGTACTGCAGACACCTGGGCTGAACATACAGATGAGTGGCTTGGGGAGTTTGGCAATGATTTGCAAGGACCTATTGAAAGCTGCTGTTTTTTCCTTGTTGCAACAATCTTCTGTGCAACTGTAAAGACAAAACAAAACAAAAATTATTGCATACTCCTGTCTCCAAGGTGCAATAACCATGTTCACATTAAAGAGCAATTTCACAATTTGACCAATAATGTAAACTGGCAATCCAAGGTCTAATGGGCATAGATTCTAATGAGAACAGATAATAGCACTTGCAATTGTATTTTGTCATTTGTAATATACAGAATATGAGTGAAACGAAAATCTCTTGAATGTGAGGTGTAATTTCAATCACAGTAAATATGAAAAAAGTGTAGTACTTTTAGAACAGTCCCACTTCCATTTCTTTTTTCCACATGACTGAATTTTCAGTAAGAACGTTCAAATGAATCATTTGTTTCAAGAAAATGCTAGAACATTTAGTCTAAAAAGGGAAATGTACGTTGCCACACTTTGAGAATTTAGAATAGGGCAATCTGTTTTCTGAAGTAGGCACTTCCAAAACTAGCTAATGCTCAGGGATTCTGGGAACTTATCTAAACAAGAATCCGCTAATGTCACACTGTTGAAGGTTAACTTCGAGCCCTGTTTCTGAGGCCCCTTCTACACTGCCATATAAAATCCAGACTATCAGATTTGATTATATGGCAGTGGGGGAGCCCCCGGTGGCGCAGTGGGTTAAAGCACTGAGCTGCTGAACTTGTTGATCGAAAGGTCGAAGGTTCGATTCCGGGGAGCGGCGTGAGCTTCCGCTGTCAGCCCTAGCTTCTGCCAACCTAGCAGTTCGAAAACATGCAAATGTGAGTTGATCAATAGGTACCGCTCCGACGGGAAGCGAATGGCGCTCCATGCAGTCATGCCGGCCACATGACCATGGAGGTGTCTACGGACAACGTTGGCTCTTCGGCTTAGAAATGGAGATGAGCACCACACCCCAGAGTCAGACATGACTGGACTTAATGTCAGGGGACTACCTTTACCTTTACCTTTATATGGCAGTGTAGACTCATATAATCCAGTTCAAAGCAGATAGTCTGGATTATCTGATTTGTTAATCTGAATTATATGGCAGTGTAGAAGGGGCCTTAAACTGTGGATCCTGACTGCAAATGGGGTCCCCTTAGCTCAAAGTTGGGGTACCGAAAAATTTGCCAACAGTAAAAGTTTTCTGAACATCACACCTGTTCAGACATTTACATGAATCTGTTGTGAAGTGTTTACAGTGGAATCTGCAGATGATGCTTCAACTACACTTCATAAAAAGGAAAATCAGCTTGTTTAGCAAGCCTCCCAAATGATTATTTGTTATCAGTAAATGTTTTATTTTTATGCCTGTTTTATATATCTATATATGTACAAATATCTCAGGCCAAAATGGGTCCCAAGTGGAAGAAATTAAGAAGTCCTATCTTATGAGGTTAGAAAACCTCAACAGTACTGTGTGATATTTTACATTTAGGTGCACCTGAAATATGTTTCACCATCTCCTAAATAGCTGCAGTCTTGGGGATAGTTACCAAATGATACCCAGAAGGGTTCCAAAGTACTTTGCAGAAACACCCTAGCTAAAGAAGTAATGACCAAATGATAGTGCAGAAGAAAACACAAAAAGAAACAAAAGGAATTAAGGGAAACCACACAGAAGCAAGTGTTTCAGGTTTCCAGAGGAAGTATCAGATGAAAAAGCCCCAAAACATATCATCCATATCACCCAGACACAAACACAGTCATTCCATAATTTCACAAGGGCCATCAAGGAAGACTTACATTTGCAACCTGAGTTGGCTTTGATGATGATCTCTTCCCCCATCTCAAATTACAAGGATTCAATATGAAGTGTGTATCAGCAGTGTGAGTAGGTGTGACAGCAGTGCAATATGGTCATACTAATCTGCAGCCAACCACATCTTTGCAGCAACATCCCTTCGTCACCTATTATTATATTATGTTCATGAACTACATAATCAAGATCACAATGGTGTCATCTCTAGCTCAGCAAATGTAACGACTACCCAAAACCCAAAGCACCTGAACATCAACTGAACACATAAAGTCTCATTTTTATCTCATTCGTTAGACTTTCAGCTCTATCGTTTTAACCGTAATGTCTGACACAAATTAAAAAAAGAATGACCATCATGATGACTGTGACTGTCTCATTTCAAAACAAAATGCTAAGCTGGGAAGATAGTGGTCCAATCACAGAAACAATTCCAAATTCTCTTAATGCCTTCTAAGAAACTTTTTGTTCAACACAAATAGGAGTACTAAATTAAAGAGTATGTCTTTGTTCCAATTAAGCCAATTAAACCTAATGTCAGCATAACAATGGGAGAGGGGGAAGGATGTTTCAGCAGAAAGCTGGAGATAAATAACTAATGTTGCTTCTTTTCACTGAAAGAGTCATTTTTATTTGATAGTGTCCTGATGCATTATGTTTGCAGCTCCATTAATTTACATGAAAAAGGAGTAAAGCAACTAACATTGTTTACTTGGGGAAAAGGATTATATAGACAAAATAGCTTAAAAGCAAACCACACAATTTGCAGAACTCGAGTTCACTATGCCAGTAAAAACAAACTAATTAGTATTTTTAAAGAATCAGATTCATATCTACATGGAGTTTAATGATGTAATTCATAGGATCAATTTGTAAACTATAACACTATTAAACTAACTGTTTCCTGGTCATACTGCAGTAGCATGAAACCCTGCTCTTGATGTATTTTATTAACACACCTGAATAAAACAAAACAAAACAAAATACAAGTCCCATGGTATGTACACCTTCAGCCAAGCATTATTCACTGCAATTTTTCTTTTGGTAATTAACTGGAGGACCCTACCGCAATTTCGCTTTTATTTCCTTTCCAATCTCATTAATGTGGACAATTCCTGCACTGTGACACACCAAATGGGGGTGATTTTGACTACTGAAAGACGAGGCCTGCTTTAAAAGTAACTTCAATTATTGCAAGGACTAATAGCATAACACGGTTCTGTGGTGTCTAGAGATGTAGTTTTTGTAGAAATTATTTTGTTCATGAGTGGATGGGAGAAGATTTCAGTGGTGATAAAAACGGCAATGAAGGAATAAAACATATATATAAACATATATATATAAAACATATATATAAATGTATTATACAAGAATTAACACATTAAAATTATATTAATATTTTTAACAATTATACATAGCTTAATAGGTGATAGGTGAGTCCAAAATAGGTGATAGGTGAGCCCAAAAAGCAACATTTCTGGTAAGGATATGGCCCTTATCTGCTGCAATTTCCTGACATTTTGCAATGTGAGTGAAAATGGAACTATTGCAATGCAACACAGAAACAAAAAAAGGGACAGAAACATGGATTTAGTTTCTGATTACTTCGACAAGTCTGTACAGATTTGCCTTGAAACTATCTGCTTCTTTTTGTCTCATATTTTAATCATGAATTTTCTTGCAATTATTTCTGTTATAATTATTATAACATGTAATGCTCACCAGTAACCTAGCTAAGCAGAAGACCCTGGTATTATTGAGAAATTGGGCCCCTCTCCGCCAAAAATTAATGAATTATATAAAATATAGTGTTGCGGTTCCATTTGGATATACAGTACAGAGAGCACGTGCGCCTTTGCCCTGCAGTAATCTCTTTATGAATTAACCCTGGAATGTTGTCTAACACCCTGACAGACCCCCAGGAAATGATCCCTTAAATTACCATAATCCCTTCACAATGAATTGGGACACGTGAACGGAGAACATAATTAACTTCTGTCAGAGTTCCTTGGTCCCCTTGCTGTCTTTCCTGATATGATTGGGGCTATCTGTTGGAATGATTCATTCCTGTGCCCCAAGTCAGCCTCACCCATTGAAATGGCCACCACATTCAAGCACTCATTGTGTACTTTGGGCTGTCTTCATTGTGTCTACTGGAGCCCAACCATTAAGCCCATCATGGACCCATTGGCAATCACCACATCACATTCCTTTCTGATTGCACCCCTCTCAGGGGCAGATCAATAAACGGACTAATATTTTATATCCTCCAATGACAGTTTATTAAATTTCTTGCTACCACAAAGAGCCAACCACCAGCAATGACAAAGGATGGATGATCCCAGGATGAGGATCCCAGACATATAGTTTTTGAACCAATCAATAACAGGTACGAGTTTCTTTATTAGCTGTCAAAATGAATAAAAGTACTGTGTTCGCTATTGCGGCATGTCAGTGCTTTGGAGTACTTTCTCCACTGACATCCTCTCTAGCCACTGAGAATAAACCTCTGATTTTGCCTTTGACCTGTCTATGTCTCATTCGGACTTCTGGAAAGCTGGGCACAACTGGCCATTGAACCTGCAGCTCTTGAAGGAGCTGAAATCACCTGACACTGGCACACTCAAACATTTCAACTACCCACAAATGATGAACACACCAGGGTCTATCCTTCAATGGTGCTAAAAACAAACATCTATTGCTCCAATTTTACTTCTTGAGAAGCATATCTTATGAGTTGAGCATAGCGTCTTGGTGCCATTTGTTAAGATTAGGACACCAGTCATTTTAAGTTCTACCTCTAACTATAAAATAATATTAAACTGGAGGTTCTGCACTTGACTTATATAAAACTCTTCTGTATTAAAACAAATTTATCTTCATTTATGTTGCAATTATCTCTTATGGCAGTTAAATTGATGGAAATTAAACTATTGTTTAATTGCTCCTATTAATCGGAGATTTAAATATCCACAGCAATAAACAGTTACCTTCAGGACAGAACAAAGTCAAAGCTACTCATGTTGATCCTAGAAAAGCAAAATAATTCTACATAGCAATCTTCATTCAAATGGCAATTTTCAAGATAATAAGTTTTAGAAAAGGAGATGCAGCAAAACAGCACATTAGCAAATTTCACTTGTTACAATCTATAGATTCAAATACTTCTTTGCTACCTTTCCAGTAATTATTTTGTTTTCTCTGAAAGAACTATATTATATATAAAAATAACATCAACACTTTCCAAATATGTCTTATTGGACTCTTCTAAA